TCCCAGTGTGCAATGTCAGAGACCCTAAAAGGCTCACCAGGCTTTTCAGCTGTCTGTATAAACAGACTTTAAAAGCCAAGCTGCCTGATAGCACAGTATGGTGCACATACAGTGATCAAATATTCAGTTAAACACAGAAGCCATTCTTGTTTAGGAGGAACAAGAGTACCTGCCATTTATCATGACTTTGAGGGCTTGAGCTACTGACATGAAACTTTTTGCAGATTCCTTGTGTCAGAAGCTGAGTTCTACAGATCAGAGTTATCCAGAGGTGCACCAAAAAGGTTAGAATACTGGTTCCCAGCAAACCATATTACAAACTTACTGAAAACTCAGCTTGTATCATGAAAACTCACCTAAGCTTTCTGTAGCCTGTACCAAAATACTTAGTATAGAGGGGCCTGTGTGGCCCAGGAACACCCCTCCTCCCAGAGAGGGCATCTCTGAAGATTAGAAAGTCCTTCTCAGGGCTGACACAAACCAGCTAAACCTAAGGCTATGGAACAGCTTTCCTCTAGTATCTCCTCAGAGAGGGATGGGGAAGGAACAGCTCAGATTTGATTAATTATGAGGGCCTGAGGAAACATGCAGAGTACCCCAATGCAGTCTATGAAGTTCTTGCCTACCCAAATTAAGCCAAGAACCATGTTTACAAAAAAAAAAAAAAAATCAAAGCCTTTTTAGCATTTGTAATTTGGATTACAGTAGGGAGCCCACACAGCATGTTAGGTGCTTTCCAGACACTGAAAATGCCACACCTGCCTTGCCAAAAAAGTTTATGGTTTACGTAGTTGCACAAGATGGTGCTTGTTTTGTTCAGCTATATTACAATTGTAAAAGTCTGCATTAATTTCCAGAAGGATCCAGGATCATGCCTGTCTGATCAGGGTTTTTCTCATGTGATCAGACAGCCCTGCCAGAAAAGCTGGATCTCCTGGACATACTACCAAAGGGCTTCAAAGACTCCCCCCTCAAAATAGGGCACCTGCTCCACTGTAGCTCAGAGCCCTTGTCTTTCCCCAGCAGCCCTGTCTGCTTTCCGAGAGTAAAATGGTGGTTCTTTGTCCCGTTTCTAGTGTTCACGCTACAGAAGTGATCACCAACACCCACCACCCAGAGACATTTAACATATTAGTTGTTTTGACTGTCCAGCCCCTCCCGCCCAGCACAGTTTTCTTTCTAGCATTTTACCTGTCTGAGAGAATGACAGCTGCCCTCCTTTGCAAGCAGCCTCAGCCACTTGAAAAACACTGGATGGACGCCAAAATATGTATCTGCTTGTGTGGAGAGCACTTGAATCTATCACTTTAACAGCTAGGACTACAATTTGAAAGTTACTTGTTCCCAGTTATTTACTCCTACTTTGAGCAAGCTGGCACCCCTTTTCCAAGGAGCACAGCCCTGCTCCAAAAGAGCACCATGGTCACTGCAGGACATACTGCTGAGCCAGAGGGCTGGAGCAACATGCACAGAGTGCCCTGACACCTGGCTACCGACCCTCCCCAGACACTGTCAAGGAAGTAACATGATTCTCTGGTCCCTTCAAACCAAGGAAAGCATAGCAAGATAAAGTGTTCTGCCTTTAACACCAAACATCCTATCACGACTCTTGAAGCTCAAATCAAAGCTTGTGATCCTAACAGCCTCAGGATGCTCACACAAACAGGCTTTGCAAACAACAGGATCAACACTCAAAGCTATGTTTGGTGCTGTACACACAGACACACAACATGAACAGATCTGGACTCAGGGAAAAAGTAATCCTGCAAAAACATGTGCAGCACCAGCAGGTTTCTAAGCTTCATCTAGAAAGAAGAGGGAAATAACAATCTCAGCTCTGAGATTTCTCAAAGCTGCTTCTTGGTACCAGTGTTCCCATTTGCTTCAGCATCCAAAACAAATCGGACTGGGGAGGGTGTCACTAGTTTATCAGTCCTTTTCTGTTCTCCCTTTTCCTTTGAGAGAACTATTAAAATCAGAACTAAAAAAACCAAACAAAAAGCCCCATAAAAATCACACAAAAATTAGCAGGAATATTCTGTTTTCCAGGGAAATGTTAAAATTGACCAGATAGCAAATAGTATCCCTTAAATGTAGGCTCAATACTAAAATAAGCATAAGTAACACTAGTATTAGACAACAATATTTGTATTCTTACAGCATTTGCTTACATTAAGAGAGCCTGCACAGCTCCTACACCAGTCAGTTTGAGCCCCTGCCCTAAAGAGCTTCCATTTCAGTGCAGCTCTCGGAGCATCTTTTTATGTCAAATGTTGTATCTGTATAAGGACATAAACCTCCTCCTTTAGCAAATACATTTACACAGGTGTTTGCAGAAACCACTTCCCAAACTACTTTCTGCTTCTTCAGACTTGAAAAGAAAAAGGAAAGATAAGGGGTCAGAAAGAAGTTAACTTTGCCAACAAAGCATATCTGTTCTTTTTCTCCACACCTCAACACCACTGCTGACAAACAACAAACACTGATTAAAGGCTTTTTAATGCCTGTGAAGGAAAGCAGACTCCCTGCAGCTGCAGAGCAGCTGGGAACACTTGTGTTATTTAGCAGAGAAAGGTCTGACCCCACAAGTGAAAATGAGCTCGGTGGTCACTCATTCTATTCGCCATCTGGGTACATTATAAGCACAAACAGAACAGCACAGCCCTTTGTGATGGGGTAAGGAGAAATAGGCAAGACATTGCAGTACCAGAGTAACATGCTTTAGCAAAGCTTCGCAGGAAAGAGGGACCAAGGGACACAAGAGACA